GATATCATTGTTTTCTCTCTTGAAATTATTTTGGGTGTTGTTATTTTGAATTAATAATGAACTTTATAATGAAATTTTAATATTTCTTTATTTCGTTCAGAGTAAAAATCCATTGATTTAAGGTATAAGAGACCGATTCTTCGCAATAGGAAATAATTAAATATTATCATGTCCGTCCAAAAGTTCAAAGAATATTGTTTTTAGGGGATCTTAAATTAAATTAGACTCAAACTCGTAAATTTCATTGCAAAGACAATTAATAAATCGACTAGGTACCGATTTAGAGTGTTGTGTGGGTGTTAATCCTTTCCCATACGTAACCGACTCCCGGACTCAAATTTTGGTAACGCAAACCGCAAGTTTTCTATTTTAATTAAAATTAATATTTTATTAAAATGGAAAATACGCTTTTTGGGTGCTCAATCACACTCTAATCAAATATTGGTGGTGACTCCTCGAACCACCTTTTATCATTAACATGTCACAAAATTATTTCGAAATGAGGCCCCCTTTTTTCCCTTCGAATAAAAACCATTTCGACATCTACAAAATCAAGTTAGAGTCAACGGCGCTAAAAATGTGATGTGCCTTTGACTAGTTCCAGCTAGAAGTTCCATTGTGCTTAAAATGCCATGCATGTAACTTCTACGCACAAATAGATGACTAATCTCCAGTAAGGGAAACTAACTTCAACCCACCCATTTATCTTTGGTCATATGGATGTAGCTATTCTATCCAGTTATCCTATCCAACTATCCAATACAATGCACCTGAAAAAGACTGAATAGTTTTGTGAATACTTTTCCACGCATAGGATCTATTGTGACCAACAGAAGCACAAATTATATCACCATTTGGATAGTGATTTTCTTTCCATACATGTGCTAACAAGCAATTTGGGTGTTGAATTAACTGCCATACTTGTTTACCAAGAATTGCCAAGTTAAATAACCGTATATTATGAAAACTAAGCCCCCCTTAGATTTTCGGTGTACAGATTATAGGCCATGCCACTAACGGCTAACCACGCTCAAAAAACTTCCCGATCCACCAAAAGCGTCGCATGATGCCAGAGGCCTGATTGAGTAAGTGCTCAAGGAAAACATAGCAAGACATCGCATGTTGCGGTAAAGCCTGAGCAACATATTTTAAAAAAAAACTTCTCTACCCCCATAAGATAACAATGGCTTTGTCTATCCAGTAACTCGTGCATAAACCTTATCCCTCAGATATCCAAATGTACGAGTTTTATTTTTAGCTATGTGAAGCAAAAGTCCTAGATAATGACCCAAGCAGTCGACTACCTTGATACCTAGAATATTCACTATTTGATTGTGGTGCTCTCGAATTGTGTATGGACTAAAATAGAGGATGGATTTATCCAGATTCACGCGTTGACTAGAGGCAGCCACATATATATTTACAATCTCTTTAATATGATTAGCCTCACTTGTAGAATTCTTTAGGAAGACCAGACTATCAACAACAGGGGACCTCGTAGAGAGGCTCTAACCCCTTTGATCAAACTAGTCACTTGCACTTTATGAAATAGAGAAAATAGACCTTGAGTGACAAATAAAAAGAGAAAAGGAGATAATGGGTCCCCTTATCTTAAACCACTTGAAGGGGTGAATTCATGGGTGAAAAAAGCCATTGACCTAAGCCGAGAATATGACTATTGTGATGCACTTCATTATCAAATTAATGAAACCAAAAATGAACCCTAGTTTAGTCATTACGACTTTTAGAAAACTCTATTCAATACTATCATATGCCTTTTCAATATCAAGTTTCAACGCGACTCCTTTGTTTATCTCATTCGTTCCAGAATTCATATAATGTAACAACTCCTGGGCTACTAGAATATTATCAGATATCTATCGCCTCGATAGAAAAATTGCTTGATTATCACTTATGAATAATTGCATGGATTCTTTTAAGCGATTAACTAGTACTTTGGATACAATCTTATAAATGACATTGCATAGGCTGATGGGTCATATGTGTTTCATATGCTTGGGTTCCTCGACCTTTGGAATTAACACCAGTACCAATTGATTCACCAAGGACATATCCATCTCACCTTGGAGAAGTTGTAGACATAGTCAAGCACATCATCTCCAATAAAGTTCCAATTCAACCGAAAAAAGCTAGTCGGAAGACCGTCAGGTCCTGGTGCCTTCCGAGGATTAATGTCCTTAAACGCAGTTATAACTTCTTCCATGGTAAACGATTTACATAAAATAGCATTTATGCTCGGTATTATAACTTCCTCAATTGCATCCAGAACATGATCATTTGATATAGGATTAAATGAAGTGAAGAGTTGTTGGAAGTGCTCAACAACGGTAGTCTTCATATCGTGTATGCTACTCATCCATATACCAGCATCATTGAAAAGGCCATTGATACAATTCTTTTTCTCCCGTTGAGTAGAACGCGCATGGAAAAATCTCGTATTACGATCACCTTGGGCAAGCCATTGAACTCTTTATCCAATAAGTGCTTAAGCTTAGTCTTAGCAGCACGTAGCTTAACCATTTGATGATCACTTGAATGCGCATTCAAGCCTATATATTAATTTGTTTCCATAATACTTTGATCCAAACTTTATTGTTCTTGACACGATCCCTTTGCCACTCCTTTAAGGACTCACCTACAGCAGCAATTTTGGACAAAGCATTGCCATTCGTTGTCACCCATGCATCTTGTACCTTTGAGAAACAAGCATTTTCATAAGCCACTACAAGAAAATATACCTTTAATGACACACGAACGATGACACACGCTAATTTATGACTTGCAAAACATGTGTCATAAAAAATGTCATGTTTTTTAAAATCTGAACGATTTATGACTTACAATAATGTGTGTCATATTTAATAGTCATAATCCAAAAAATTTACAAAACACGGAGTACAGTTTTAATTGTGTGTCATCTGTAAAAGTCATATTTTAATTTTTCCCCATTTTTTCATCTTTCCCACTTCCTCTCCCTCAATAGTTCACGCCGCATGCTTCTCCATTTTTCTCTTTGCAACCTCCCACTGGTTTGGCCTTCACCACAACACAGAGAAGAGGGAGTCAAAATTCAAGGGTTTCCATAGGTATTCCTCGTTCTCTATTTCGCAATTCAATTGTAAACCACTTTATTTCGCCCCAAATAACTCGCTTGCTAACGGGAAAAAAGAAAGAAAAATCGCTAAGCTCGGTTTCCCTGTTTCCATGGAGATCTAGGGTTTCCAATTGTTTCCCAGCTAAAAATCGAATTTCCTTGTTCACATTTTCAATTACTTACTATAAGTAAGTTTCTGAGCTCATTTATGTTGGTTGTATTCTTTTAAAGCTCATTACATTTGATCTGCGCGGAGGCTTTGTTTAAGCTACGTTTGGTTATGCGAAGAAAAGAAGATGGAGTCAGTTATTGTTGGAGACGTAGCGTGTTTGGATCCAGAGTTATTGCAGCTCCTCGAGATGTCTCCTTTTGTTCTCAAATCCAATCCGAATTCACGCAAAAGCTTTTTGAGTAGTGGTTTTCTCTTCCCGATGCTTACAAGCTGGTACTTTTCCTTATCTAGTTTCGAGCAGTGGATTTAATCAATCCATATTTTTATACTTTTCATCCATATATATTTTTATACTTATTGACTCACGAGCTCATTTCGTGAAAAATATCACAAGGTTCTTCACTAGGGTTCCTGACTTTCCCTGATTTTTTCTTTCTTTCTGGAATCATTGCTGTAAAAGGTAATTTCGTACTCTAACCATCGTTTCTGTGTTCAAATTCTATTTAATTTTAATTTCTGGAGCCGTCTGATTTATTTTCCATGAAAATGATGGGAAAATTAGTATTTATGATTTCTTTAATTTAATTTGTTCAGTTCCAGTCATTTATCTCACCGTATTTGTTGTCTTAGCATCTAAGAAGAGGTTTTAGCACATATCTATGATTTGTATATTTTTATTGTGATTTGGTTGTTGTTTGGTTTCATTTTTTCTTGATGTAGATCCAGCAGCTGTAATTTTGATTTTAGCTCCTCTTCTTTTCGAAGACCTCGAAAACTTCATGCACTAGGTTGTGGTTGATAATTTTCTTTTTATTGTGTGATGGATCAAAATATAAATAATGAGTGATGTAATTCATTTAGAGAAAGTCTCTTCTTCTGGAGAGTGTTTATGGAATGACCTCAATTCTATATTTCAAATAGCTGGGAAGATCCCCTTGTCTTGTCAGTTATCTTGTGTTTGCTCTCTATTAGTTTACTAAATAGCTTTCAAATATTTGTTGACGCTGTTGCCTTGCTCATTCTGTTTTGTTCATGTTAGGAGTGCATTACTACTTGATAGTTAACGCTTTAGTTTTGACTTGTTCTTTCATAAGTTTGTTTGTGCTTGTACACATGTATGTGTTTTGTGTGTGAAATACTGATGGGATATTGTCATCTCTTTTGCTCAAGCAACATGAGACCCATTTTCTGTGGAAACTTTGAGTATGATGCACGCCAGTCTGATTTGGAACGTCTCTTCAGAAAATTTGGGAGTTGAAAGAGTAGATATGAAGTTTGGTGACTATTGTTTCTCATTATCGGCAATTGGTTCCATGTGAGAATCGTGAGCATCATTTCCAGCTCCTTTTTCTAAACTAATTTTCTCATGCTATTGGTGCTATTTAGTTGGATGCGTTGGTTATAAAGGTGTCAGAACTTGAAAGTATTTTGACCTTAAAAGGTTGTTTTCTTATTAATTATATCACAGTTTAAATCTATTTCACATGGTTTTTAGTTTCAATGTGTAAATGAAACCAAGCTATTTTTTTTTTGTTGAACTTGAATTTTGCAAGTATAATCTTGGTACACTATTAAAAAATAGCTTAATTTGAATGCTTAACAGAAGGATAACACGCATTAATTGTAAATGCTTGTAAAAATTAGAATATAGAGCAATATGTATGCACATTTCGCGGTGAGATAAAGTTCCTTCTGTAATGAAATAAAAGTATCCTACTTCCAGAGAATTAAGGTGTTGGTCCCTATCATGATGGTTGCACAGCAGTATGACCTCATAGTACACGACTCAGCAGCATCAATCATCCTTTGTTGAGTTTTACTGGGGGTCTAGGATGTTTAAGGAAAACTATTTAAAAAAAATAAGCCCCCATACTCAACATTTTCTTTGGCATAGGATTTTCTTGGGATCTAATAGAGGAGCTCCTCAGAGTTCTATTCCATGCATGTGACGAGCTTCCTCTTCTTTCTTTCAAGAAGAGTCACTCTAATCCGCAATGCCATGGATCATCCTTCATCCATCATTTTCCTCAGGGCATTTTTTCATTTCATTCCTCATGACTTTTTCCCAGCCCTGAAATTCAGACATGTTTCAAGGTAGAAACATTAATGACCTCATGGAAGAGGCTGCAGAAAATATGGAGAAGGCAAACTAATTCCTTGACCTACCTGAGATCCATTTTTGGATTCTTGTTCCTTGATATCACTTAGATCATCACACAAGGTATGTTACTACTTTCATTGGTCTTAGTTTATAGATTGTTGGGACCTGACCAAAATGTAGTCCTAGGGCATCATTTTAGGTGGTTTATTTCTCTCCGGAGAGTAAACGCCAACTGAGATCTCAAATACCTCACTCATGTATTTATGCATTTTGGAGAGCTTAAACAACATCATTATTTGTCTATAGTCTAATAGTATATGTTTAAACGTAATTTCTTCTGTACTTTCCAATTTGACAGGATGACTTCAAACCTGTCCTCCGTGAACTATTGTCAACTCATCCATGGTTGGATCATGATCCATACACGTCAATCATTCTAAAGATGATGTTAGAGAGATGATTTTTAGAGAGGTACTCCACATTTGTTGCTTTGGTATTATCTGGTTTCTATTTATCATATAGCTTAACCAATTTGTGGCTAACAGATATTAGAGTATCATCCCTAGATATTGCAGGAGCACCTCCGCGATGGGGATCAGACCAACTTCATGTACCTTTCAAGCTCTTAACTTTTGTTGTTTAATATCCTTTAAAAAAATCCTCTTGTTTCTTAATATGATGTCCAAGATTGACCTTATGCAGTTTAGATACAGCTTAGTAAAGTAATACTTTTGAGTGGTTTTGTAGATCGAATCCTCATTTCAAGTTATGTAGTGCTTAAGCGAAATATAGGGGGTGGGGTCTGGAAATTCTAAATTCCAGTTGATAACATTTGCTTCTAGCATTGCAAATAACGGTATTCTTTTTCTTTTTTCAATAAAATAGTGGCGTTGAGCGATTCAAACGATAATTTGCATATTTGGAGGAGCATTATGGTAAAGGTGAAAGAAGTACTCCACTTCTAAGACATCATGCTTCTTTTCCTAGGTATGCTTCATAAAATTTTAGGAATCATGTTAGTTCTATAATTTCTCCCCCAAACTTAGTTTGTCTAGTTCATGTGTCATATTTCAATTTGCCTGAATATCGTCTTTACAGAGAACGAGTTCTTGCTCCCAAGGATGAGAATGATCAAGTTGATGGTGAGAATAACGATGCTTCAATGACACAATATGGTTCAGAAAGCGCTAGTGCTTCAATGACACAATATGGTTCTGAAATACAAGTTGCAGAAGCACTGGAAGCTTGGATATGGTATCTGGCTACTGTTTGATCATTACCACACTCCATTGGATCAGATATGTAGAAGGTATGAATTGAAACTTGGGAGAATTGTATTGCAATTAGTAGTTCTCTAACTTATCAAAGTTCTGCAGAATCTTAACTAGTTAACAGACTTAATAGTATGCAATGAATCTTCCAAGTTGTGTTCTTTTTGCTAGGTAGACAAGGTGTGAATTTGTCTGTTGTCGGCTTCACACCACATAAGATGTACAAGTATGGAGCAAATGGTGAAACTGATGATATGTTGGAGTACCATGCTACTTTTGATTTTTCACAAGACTCCCCTTTAGTAGAACTTCATGATGATTTCTTGTGTACACGCCCGGATGGCGAGGGCATATTAGTAGAACTTTATTATGTCGTGATATTTTGTATCGACATATGATTACAATATTTTTGATAACTTAATGCGAATATATTGTATGCAAATGGATTGCTTATATATAATATGATATATATATTTAGTATTATGAGGCATTAAATGTGATTTAGTTTGATTATTTCGTCAATTATACAATATATATATATATATAATTGACGAAATACAATCACGACGCAAGAATGTGTGTCATCTTTTTAATGACATGTGCTTCAATGACACGCAATGTAAGTCATACATGCGTGTCATAAATTTATGACACACAAATGTGTGTCATCTTCATTTATGACGGGGGCTTCAATGAGACGCGCAATGAGCGTCATAAATGCACGTCATAAATGCGTGTCATAGATTTATGACACACAATTGCGCGTCATCAAAAATTCATGTTGATGGCTTCAACGTCAGGCATATGTGTGTCATCCTCACCCATAGATGACGCGTAATGTACGTCATTAAAGGGTTTTTTCTACTAGTGAGCCCACCTATTTTCGAAACAAAAATAGGCACAGGAAGCATAGGAATCGTGATTTTGCTGGTTCCTGTTGTATCCAGCGAGAGAAAACAATGATCAGACCGATCCGCAAATTTCGAAAACCACTCTGACCTGTGGATAACATCATAACCAACTTTTAGTGGCTACAAATTTGTCCAAACTTTCAGCAATGTGGCTTCATTTGATAGTTTAAGTTTAAGATTTTTTTCTCTATTTATAAGTACTTGTTTACATCTACTAAAGATTTTATACTGCATAAAAATAATATATATATATATATATTTAAAAATACAATGATTTTATTTTTATTTATTTATTTATTAAGCAATATATAGTTAAATCAAATAATTTCGAGTAGGACATTCTTACATATTGAAGAAACATCTAACGTGAAATCAGCCAAAACTTGATTGGAAGGAATGCAAATGAAGTAGAGAAATTTATTTTCTAAAGATACGTGCCTTAAACCTTTCAAATTTATTTATATTTTAAATTGAAATTAAAAAAATTATATTAGTGTTGCATAACCCTGTTTTATTTAATTTAATTTCTATTACAATTTTTAAATTTATATACTATATTAAAATTAATAATATCATATATGCGTAACATGTATAATTGAGATTAAGAAATTGTGAAATTATAAATTAACTCATTGGTAAATTAAAATTTGACCCATGGCTCCTAATAGAATTTTTAACAACGTCCATATTTATGTATATAGAAGATATATGATTATGGAAGGATTTGAATTTGTGAACTAAATTTATGATATAATGATAAAAATAAATTTGATTAGAGTGAAGTTATAATTAATTACCATATTGTGAATTTGATTCAAATTAAGAAAGGTAACATTTTCTCTGTATTAAATTAAAATAATTATTTCATATTAAGAAAATATTAGATACCATAGTTAGCAACCCACCTATAATCACAAATATACCAAACATGTTTTTAGCAGCATTTTTTAGACCTATAGAGGAGTTTTTAGCGCTGCTAAAAAACTTACTGGGGATAGCAAGAGCGTTGCAAGAAACACCGCTAAAATGGCCACCGTAACTATTAGCGGCTTTTGTGAAGAAAAATACCGTAAAATGTTGATATCTATAGCGGCATTTTTGGAAAACATGCAGCTAATTGTTATGATATATAGCGGGTTTTTTTAACAAACACCGCGATTTTAAAAAACACCGCTAATTTTCATGATATATAGTAGCTTTTTGGCCCAAACGCACTATAGGTTGTAATATGTAGTGACGTTTTACCAAAACGCCGCTATTGAATATGTATATAGTGGCTTGACAAATGTTGAAAATGTGTATGCCATTAGTGGCATATTTTATAAACGCTGCTAAGATTATCTGGTTTGTCATATATTATTTTCTGCTCTTTATTAACCAAATTTAATATCATATAACATTATCCAATAACAACAAACTTGAAATTTAATTACGACATGAATTAAATGAAATTACTTAACAACAAAAATAAATCAAAGTTTATAAACACTAAAGTGAGATATAATATAGTTATTCTCGATGAATAATGATATAGAGGTTTTTGGGGTGTTTCATAGCTATTGTTACTAGAATCATCATGTTCCAAAACCAACAAGATGGACAATACAATGAGAATTCATACGCTTAAGAAGCCTTTCTCTTTCAAGCTTTCAATGGTTTTCATCAGACTCGCATCTTAAGGATGAGGCTCATACCCGTACTTTTGTTTTCTCATGGGATATTTGAAAAATATGCTCAATCGACTTGTCCTGGTCTCTTCGTCTGTAATAAATTGAAGAAGACATGAATTTTATCAGTTTAAGATCTTATCAAGTATTAACTTTTCCAAAAACAGGCCAGTTTATAAACTATAAATATTTACCTGTTCAATTACACTAGCTTCCGGACTACTTACATCAATTATCACCTATTTATATCATATAAGGGGAAAAAGTCTTATTCAGAATAAGATGAAAAATATTATCTGCAGCTAACGTGATCTAACAAGGAAAAGAATAAAAATAAGTTGTTTCAGTCAAAGCTGAAGGAAATAATTCAAACGTTTTTCAAGTGTCTCCAAAATTCAAGTTTAAAAATTTAAGTGCCGACCCCCGTGTCCCACCCTAGATACAGTAGCTGACAGTAATGCCTTAAGAAATGTCTAAGCAGAGCACCTAAATATTATTTTGAATTCCATTGCTCTTTAGGTTCAGTTTAGCTTAGAAATTGGCCAAATAGGTCTAGGACTAAAATTAGCAAAGGATATTCTAGTTCTATAATTCTATGTTTATACAAGTTGTCAATAGGAGTCTCCACTACTGCTCTTTCTATTTAAAAAGACAACTGCAAACCAAGATAGAGAGAGTGGTAACTAAAGTTGCGTGCCTGGAATTGAGAAAAACACAGACAAAAGCTACGAAGGAAAACACGTGGGCATGACTTTGTGTTTGTGGGTAAACTTTCGCTGTTCGGTTGGGATGTTTACCGCGATGGTGCTGGAGGCGAGGATGGCGGGGCTATATTGGAACGGTGAGGAGGTCTTGATGTGCATGGCGGTGAAGCCCACGATGGCGTCCAACGTCGG